GGCCTGCGGCACCCAGCTAAAATCTGTACGTGGGCAGTGTCATCACGCAAATCCATGTGCATGGATCGTGTTATCATGCGAAGCGACGTGCGAGAGCCATTTCATCTTGCGAATCCAAGTGCGTGGGCCGTGTTGTCACGCAAGTCTATGTGAGTGGCCCGTGTGGTCAATGCAATACATGTGTGGCGGCGGTGCAAGCCAGGCAGTAACAAAAACGAAAGCCAGGCAGTAATGAAACATGAAAACAAGGCACTCATTCAAGAAAGGTTAGGACGGGGTAACGAATAGTGATAACCAAACAGTAACGAAAAGTGAAAGCCAGGCAGAAACGAAAACAATATCGAAAAATGAATCTGAAGGACAGGGTAACAACAAAACACAAGACATGAAAAGTGAAAACCATGTGATGAAAAAACACTTTGGCAGTAATGAGAAGTGAAAACAAAACAGCAACCAAAAAACACCAGGCAGTGATCACAAGTCAAAACCAGGCAGCGATGAAAAGTGAAAAAGTGAGATCCAGGCAGTAATGAAAAGTGAAACCCAGGCAGTAGTCGTGAAGGAAAAAAATCGGGAACAAAAAGGAAAAGAAAAGGAAGAGACACAATAAGTGAAGAAAGAACAGTTGAAAAGGAACAAACAAAGGGACATTGAAAAGGAAACAGACAGGACAAGGAACAACAAACAGAAACAGGTCAAGGAAAAAGGAGAAAGGACAGGAAATGGAAACTGACAAAGGAAAACGGACAACAAAAGGGCTGGGTTGCAAATAGCTAGTTGGAATGCTCAGTAAGCCTTTGATGGTCAGTGATTCAAGCATACGGTCGACAAACTCCTTCTTTCTAGCTGTCATCCAAATCCTTCGAGCCGTTCAGAACAGCAGCCAAGCTAGTCACGCTAAACAGCAGCTGCGCCCGCTCCTCCTTGGATGGTGCTAAGGTCAAAAAGCCAAGCTGGTAATCCCTGAGAGACCTGGGATCTGTAGCGTTGCAAAAGCTGATCATGCTACTGGCAGAAACACAGGTGTAAAGACTGAGCATCAAAATTCTAATCTTCCGAGTTCACAACCAACGGACCCAAGCAAGGTTAAGATGATTAAGGACGAAGCGTCTTCAACCCAAACGGGATTGTAGTCAGATTAAGATCAGTGAATGTGAATTACTTCTCGGCAGCAAATTACAGCAAGTCGCAGATCGCAATGGGCACTTGCCGGACCTCAACTGCAAGTGCCTGATCGCAGTGGGCACTACCGGACCTCAACAGCAAGCGCCAAAGCACAGTGGGCAGCACCACACCTCAACCAACACCACACAGCCACAAATGCACAACCACAAACACAATCACAACGACAAACACAATCACACACACAACCACAAACACACAACCAATCACAACCACAAACACACAAACACAAACACACAAACACAAACACACATCCGCAAACACACAACCACAACCACGACCACAAACACAACCACAAACACAACCACACACACACAACCACAAGCAAAATCGCAAACCACAAAACCGACGCTTGATCATGGCAACATACTCCTCACCATGGCATGAACACAAATGATTGACATGTCATGGTGGGGACGGGATCACTCGAAGTATAGTAGTTTTAGTTGCTCTACGTGCTCCAATGCCTGAAGGCTTTTTTGTTCAGGCTGCAGGCCCAGTCGATGGAATCAGGTGGAACAAGTCCGTTGGGAGGCCTGCAAATCTTTTGGGCAGGGATCCACCACAGCAGGTGTCTGGACCCGAACCAAACCCTTTCCATTTGAGGGCCCGGATTCTGGGATGATGATTTGCACTCAGTTCAACAAACGGCCCGGGCTCTTCATCCGAAAAGAAGGGACACCATGACAACCCATGGCACCCATCTCAACCACCAAACTGAAACGAAGGTCTTTGGAGCCCTATACCCGTTAACAATCCGAGGTGGTTGAAAATGAGTCAATGTATATAGGTACCTGGACCCGACTTCAAGTACCTTTGAAAAAGGGACATGACCCTCAAACAAGAGGTACTTGTACCCAGTTTCCGAGATACGAACTGAGACTCCAGGTCAATATTCCTGTCCGCCCTTCTCTTGGACCCTTCATGCTTCGACCACCAAATACCACTGCTGGGGCTTCCAACGATCCAAGCGCGAGACCGCCGCGCCACTGGGCGAGACCAGTGGGCGAGACCGCCGGTGGATGGGAAGGGTTTGATGAAGAAAGATGGGCACCTGTTACTTGACGCCCTGCCCAAGAGTCTTGGGTCTGGGATTTGCGTCCGGGTAAAGAGACAGGAAACATCAGATCTATTCAGCGGTTTGAGGAGCCTGAAGAATCATGAAGAATCAGCACAACTTACGTTCAGTGTTCCGATGATGAACGAGGGATGATCTTCTACAGTCAAGTCCTGAATCCTGCAATCGAACAAGAAGTGCCCCACTTTGGTGTCATTACATGTCATTACGTATATTACCTGCCAAGAGAAGTAGTGAACTGAAATTCGTACCTTGGGAGCGGCTACGTCCCAGAGGCCAATCTGGTTCCACTAGACTTAGTGGCCGGCGGTCTGACCGGTCTGACGTGGCCGAAAACTGGACTCGAGCAAAACACACTGGCGAAACACAAAGATGTATGGCTACTTTGCTTTGAAATAAGGTGTGACTGAACGTCTCAAAACCAAACATGGAGCTGTAAGCAGCTACTGAGCTACTGGGACAAAGCCATTCTGAACAAGCTGTGTGAATGCTCCCGGGCTCTCCTCCTGTGGAAGACTTCCGCCCTCTTGATTCTATTGCAAACGTATACCATTCAAAAGAAAAACATCAATACTGCATGGTATTCATTTTTTCATGCGCCCATCGGATCTTCCCTGAAAAACAAAAAAAGAACTCCAAGAACCGAATGAACTTCTCACCTCTCACGCCCCTGCCGGGTGGAAACACCCGTCGACCACAACGACGGCCTCTGCATGGCTCGCGATCTGCGGCACCCTGCGGTAGGGGGGTCGGCCACCCGAACGGATTTGCGGCACCGGAGACACGATGTCTGGGACTGCCAGGACGGACTGCCGAGTGGCACGGCCAGGGGTGGTGGTGCCAGAGGGGGAGTGTCTGGGTATCAAACACATGCAGGCACATGCAGGCACCCTTTTGTTTCGATCTTACTGTATATATCTGTGTATACCATATACCCATTGTCTGAAGTACGAACTGGTCGACTTGAAGCGGACCCGTCTCATTTGGGACACGGACGATTCGTCAACGCATCCAACGTCACCGAAGGCCTACGACGTGTTGGGTGGGTGATGAACCCGTCAACGGGCTCCAGGAGCCCACAGTAGAACCGAGAAACTCGGATCTAGACCAGGAGCCCGGCCGGCCGGAACAGGGGGAAAACCATGGGTTCCCTGCTTGGCATGTGGTCCACTATCAGCCAGTGACCTGCCTGCATGGCTTCATGCCCTGCACGGTGCGACACAAACTTCTGGGATCCGAGGTGATCCGTTCGCTGAGTTCGAACCGGCCTCCTTGCGGTCAGGAACCGACCTGTTGAGCCTACGACGACTGAGCCTAGGGAACCTACGGCCTGGACCGGATGCGACTGGAGCGGAGCCTTACGGAGCCGGTGACATGACAGAACTGCAAACTGGTCAAGGCAATGTTGGCTTAGAAAGATGAGAAACTGGTCAATTGAAACACTGGATTGATCTGTATTGCACTGATGATCCGCATTGCACCAATGCCACTGTCACTGATGCGACCGAAAACAAAGGCAACGGAACAAACTCTTCAGCCAACATCCATGTGACCTCAAGAAGTGCACTGCTCAGTGAAACCTCATCAAGTCGCCTACAGATACTATAAAAGTAAGTAGGTGACTTGCAGGAGTATAAGTATAGCCAATGTGTCAAGGCAATCCAATGCTCATGAAGACTCTGGAGGGCTATGGAGGGCTTCAAGTTATGTTTTTGGTTTTGCAGTTCCTAGTTGACCTGGAAGCCCATCAGCAAACATGGGACTGGCCTAACCATCAAACAAATTGGTGCATCGAGAAAGAACCCCTAGGGATCCACCTACCTTGCTAGAAGGTACTTGGACTCTCTAAGGCTACATGAGGGTATGTGTTTCCAATTCTTCTGTCAGAGGGTATGTGGATCCAACGCACTTCAATGATCTGGGCGGCGAACTGACCAGAGGGAAGACCACATGAATGTTTGAGCAAGAGATGGGAGGGACGACGACGATGACTTAGGTGACTTAGGTACTCTGTGATATTCTTTGATAACTTGATCAGGAGAATGACTCGAGAATGACGTTCTTGTCGTTTTTGCTGGACCCGACTTCCTTTGTACGGTAGAACATAGGACATGACACTACAAGAAGAAGTACTACAGTACCTAACATATCCTCACATCTCCCTTATTCCGCAAGCTCTTCTTTCTCAGCACGAATCTGTCTTGGCACAGTGAAACTTCCACGACGTGGAGTGAGTGCGTGGTGCTTGGGATGTCAACAAAGCGTGCTTGTGGGTGTTTGGGGCCTCTCTCAAATCCGGGACGTCTCTCAGGAAAACAAACCAGGTCTGGCAGGACGTCTTGATATGCAACGCAATGAAAGCGTAGTAGTTTCGAATGTGCTCTCACTTTCATATCTTTAATTTTTGCATAAAGGAACATGGACTATTCAAATGACTAGATCTGTTTGAGGCTCCAAAGTGAGCTCCTTGGGCAGTAAGTGAACTCAAACAGCAACACAGGTCGTGTTGAAAGAGCCAGGCTGAATCGGATTCGAAGGTTCTTTAACAGGAAGTACGTGCAGAAAGTGTGCCAAAGGTCCTTTGAACTGAAGCATGGTGTTTGCACACCTTTCATAAACTCTCTATCGGTTGCACAGGGGATTAAAGGTGTCATACGGCTCCATGCGCTTTGACCAATCACAGGCTATAAGCTTCCTGTTTGTGTTAGCTATAATTAGCCATGTAAGTGTGGCTCATAAATCCAGAAACACCTCTGCAAGCACCACAACAGACCTACACCCGCACGCGGTGCTGAAGCATGAAGGTCACTCAATCAATGCAGCACAAGGCGGCAGCACCTGTGCCGAAGCAAACACAGCTGTAGCCACTGAGACACTAGTAGACAATGTCACACCGGCTTGGAAATCATGCGCAATGCACAAGCAATCTGTTAAAGCATGTCAAAAACCTACCTGACTGCCTCCAAGTACCTTGCAAAATGGGAACATGTGTTTGAGATGGTTTGAGAAGGTCATTCTGCCGTCCCATGCATGGGGTACCAACTCCAGTCAGAGTCAGAGTGGATTGCTGAGTTCCAGAATAATTGTTGAGCGATTCCAGCAGAATGTGTTCGTTTAATGTTTGTCCGTCCACCGTCTGTCTACGGCCGGAGGCTGTTGGTTTCTGAATTAAGATTCCAACGGTCACCGTCATGGTCCACAACAGTCTGTAACGGTCACCGTAGGACGTCTGATAAGACATTGGTCCCTAGCCAATGCCTTTTTCCGGTAGCGGGCTGGCCCGTTTACTAGACGAACTAGCGGATGATTGCTGGAATACAACCTGGAGTCTTGAAGTACCTCATAAAATGGCTATAAGATGCTATAAGTACATGTTCTTACAGGGTCATGTCATGTCCCATTTTCTAAGGTACTTTGGAGTGTCCAGGTAGATGTGGGGACCTTTTTGTCTGGCTTGGACCTCAGCTGATCCTCTTGCTTCAGGTGATCGCCTGCCTAGTAACCATGGCCCCTCCTCAACAATCTTTGCAGTGGACTCAGTCAGGGGGATAACAAAACTGGTTGGCAGTTTCCAGTTTCAACTTGAATTCGTCAGTCGGACCAATCATCTCCACTTAACGTAGTGAACATAAACATATCTGAAACGACAACCCAGAAACGTACAATATCAAGCTAGCTTCGATTCAAGGTCGTTTTTCACCGCAGGAGGCGCCCCAAAAGTCGCCCCCCTCGGTGTCCACACCAAGGCTCTTCTGGAAGCTGGCGCGCTCTGGAACATACATCCGCCCCCCCGCGCGATATTCTACAAACTCAGACACTCCACGTATGCCATACATGCCTACATTGGGGCGGTTTTGGGGGTCCATTGATCCGCATGTATGGCAGTCCCACATTGGTCGTGTCTGGGAAATGCGAGAGGTCCCTGAGGTCCCACGGTCCCATGCAGAATCCCAATGTTGGTGGCTCCGAATCATGTCGTCCATGGCTCCCTACACCTCCGTTCTCGTACCTCCGAAACGGCTCGGTATGACTAGACCCTCCTGGCAGCCACCCCAGTCCCACCGAACCGAAACGAAGGTGCGACGAGGTCGGCCGAATGGGAAATTGAAACGAGGTCCGCCTCGAACAGGTCCGAGGCCCGAGGTCGTTCCGCTTTCGCCCAGGTCACCATGCAGTCGTCCCATGCGGGTCTGGCGCGCGCGCGCGCGCGCGGCGTCCTGGCCTCATCGCTAGCGTCTTCGACAGAGTTCCGGCGACTTTTAAAGACCCAGCTCCTGACTTTGAGAGATTCGTTCAGCCTCACAACTTGGATAGCACCATCCTGTCTGGTTGTCCTGTCCTACCCATGCATTACTTACAGATGTTCCGACAGGACACCCAGACAGGATGGTTCAGGGAGGTTTTCCAGACTGCAGGGATTGCGGTGTTCCAGACTGTGGAGATGTTTCCCATCCGAGCGAGGAGCCGGAGTGAGGATGCGTTTTCGAAACCATCCGTCGAAATGAACGGTCTTGACTAACCCTAGGCCTCCAAGTACCTTCTGAGAAGGTGTTTGGGGTGGGTTTGGAGGGTCTAAATACCTTTCTGAGGAACTTGGAGGTGTAGGGCAACGTCCATGACACGCTCAAACGCTCGTGGGTGAGATAACATGGAGTCAGCCAGGTGAGGTCGGCGGAGAAGAACAATAATTGTGAGGCCAAATATGTTCAAGTCTGAAACTTCAATTTCCATTGACCAGAGAATTCTCTGACTTGAGACTCAAGTTTACTCAAGTTTACACAAGTGCCCAACGATGAAGGGCAGTCAGTTGACGGGCTGCAGTCACCTCACGCCCCGCCCGGGGCGTGGCTCCTGCTTGACCTCCAAATATCTCTGGTGCGCCTGGCGACGTCGGCGACGGAGGTGGAGCATGGAGGGTCGCGGACCCGACTCAAACAACAGGGACATGATGGTGGGACATGCACGAAAACCAACGACAGGGACCAGGACCTTCAGTTCGTGACGAGGTCAGTCTCTGTCTGTGACGAGGTCAACAGGCCTAAGCCGCCTAAGCCTGAGTGACCTCATCGGATCTCAAGGACCAGGTCGCTTTGAAGGTCGTACGACTAGACGACTAGGGCCCCATCTCTTCCGAGGTACGAAGACACGGGAGTCGGCTCCAGGTCGTTTTGGTTTTCCTCATGTCTTTTGCGGAGCTTGAGAATCTGAGGTACCATTAAAAATAACCTTGTGTACCAGTACCATCCTGTCTGGATGTCGTGTATCGACTACTCTACGCTACTATCCGAGATGTCCAAACAGGACAGCCAAACAGGATGGTCCAGGCAGTCCACATTTTTGTGAGAGATAAAGTAATGTAGACTCTTGATTAACAAACCCCCCAAATGAAGAGGACTTCCAATTCAAATGGAAGGGTTTATTGATCAAGAGTCTACATTATTCCTTTTCTTCAACAAACCAAGGGAACAAAAGGTTGTCAAAAGGCCAACTTGCAACTCCCCGACCACCATTGGACCAGTCGGCTTTCCCCCTCATGGTGGAAACTGGGCTGACTCGCTTTACATAGGCGAAGATCCTTTTCCGGTACAAGGGGTCCTGGTCAGCTTCCATGATTCTTGGAGGGAATCTTCAGGAGGACAAAAAAGAAAAGCATGAAGAAACAAAGAAGTTGGGCCCACAGTCAAGTGCTTGGACGTCCTCAATCAAGGAATGCAGGTCAGGTCCATGATTGCAAGGTGGGGTCATGAGTCATGCTTTCCAAGTGTTGAAGAGTTTGGGGTGTGAAAGTTTGATGGATGGAGGGTACCCACTACTCCATCCTCTTTACTGACAAAAGTGGTCGAAGGGACTCGGGAGCCATCTACATCTGCAACCCACCCCCATCCCAACTTGTTCTTCATTTTGCAGGATATAGTGATATCTGGTGGAAATTCTGAAGCTGCTGTCACCATCAACTTACCACCATGGTTGTCATCTATACATACCAATTTCATTATTGGTTCCTGGAGCTGCCCATCCACCCATCCCGAGGTACCTCCGTGTCACAAATCACAAAAGTCTGAGACAACCCCACGAGTCATCGCAAGCTGATTTGCGTGAGAGTCGTATTTGTCATCCGCTCGAGGCCACAAAGCACTTGGAACCTTGTCACAACTGCCAGACACTCCATGTATGGTATATGCGCTTACATTGGGGTGGTTTCAGGGGTCAATGGATGTAAATATGCCATACATGGAGTGTCTGGGTATGACCAGTTTATGTTATTACACAGTACCTTGCACTCTGCGTGCGCACGCCTGACATATTCATGGGATCAGAGGACCTGTGCTTCTCCTCCAGGACATCAGCCGTCGCTGAAGATTGTAATTTTCTGCAAACCACATACTCGCACTCCTTCATTGTCATCCTCGCACTCCAGGCATCACCTCCACTTCGCCAGGCGCAAGGGCAACAAGTCACAAGTCCGAACGCTCTTCTCTTCGGTCGATGAATCGTCCGCTCTTTAGACTGTCGGTGATGTTCCTGTTTTTCAGCTGTCCTGTCCATCTCGCTCGCTTCGGTGGGGGCGTTGGGGCCAGGCGTGGTGGGGGCATGCCAGGGGGTCAGGAGCTCTTCTTCCAGCCTCACACCCGAAGAACTGAGGCCGTTTCCGGCCTCCACCAGTGTCCACCCGCTTTCTGCGTTGAATTCTGGGTCCGTGCCGCCGTGCAGATCCCCAGTCCATGGGACCGGCATATTTACACCCCTCATGGCCCATGCCAAATGTGTAGGTTGAAATAGGCAAATGTGCCAATTTGATTGAGGGTGTGAGCGGGAAACGGTCATGTCGGCCTGGTTCGTGGCTTCGTGACTCTGCATGGCCCTTCAACTTCTTCAGCCGCCAAACTGAAGAAGAAGCGCTGCTTGTATTCCCAAACACTCCATGGGACTGGAATGTTTACACACATTTACCATACATTGGGGTGGGCCGTGCAAGGTCTATGTGTAAATATGCCATGCATGGAGTGTCTGGGGCAGGGGTAATTACCTTGGTTGCGTGACGAACGGAAGGGTACCTGAAGTAGACTCCAGGCACTGGAGAAGGTCCGACCCCTGGGAACGGGACGTCCAAGGATTCTGGTACCAACAACAACTCTCAAAACATGAATTTAGAAGGAATCGTTTCCCTAGGGCTCCTGTCCCATATCCTCAGGTGCGGTGGTTAGACCCCCCCAAACGGGAGTTACATTGGGGGGCATGTTGATGTGGCATCAAACTCTTCCAGTTCCATCAGTCCAGTCTGGTCTGGCAGATCCGAACTCGAACTCGCCAGAGTCGACTTGGCCGAGTGTTGGCAGCAGAGTTATGTCATAAATACCTAGAACCCAGACATGACCTCTGTTTTGATACGAACAGACCATGATTTTGCTCCAAAACAGGGGGTCAATACCACTACTACCTTACCCCCGGGGGGGGGTTCAAAAATGTAATTTACAATTTCGGGTGTGTCAACATGCAGGTTTTGGAAAACGGTGAAATTTGAACATACAGCTCTGACATACCTCCATCTCACAAGACAGGGGTCAAAATTGTAAGTTACATTTTTGACCCTCATGTGTGTTCGTTCGGCCTGCACGCACTCAAAAATTGTAAGTTACATTTTTGAGGGTGAGGTAGAAGCATGGACCTTCACCCTCAAAATTGTAACTTACGATTTCCCTTTCGGTTGATCACAGGTTTGCACTGTGCCGCATTTTCCCTTGGAAGTGTTGGCATGTAGCGTTCAAAGCTATTACAAAACACACTCGTAAAACGCCGACAAGGGGGGGGGGGAATTGTAATTTGCTCTGTGTGGTACCCACCCATAGATTCTTACAATTTCCACCCCCCCCCCTCCTTTCAAAGTCTCCAGAAGTAGGCCAAGACCTCTTTGAGGGGGGGGGTCAAAAAAAGTAACATCCTCACATAGGCTACCTCAACCCTAGATCTTACAATTTTCACCCCCCCCCCCTATAGGGCTATATAATGCTATTGTTGTGAAATCAAAAAATGTAAGTTACAATGTTGACCCCTGCGGGGGGGTCAAGCACCGCAAGGGGGTGGTGATGGGTCAATCAGGTTCTAGGTATATAGAAGTGTGACTGGCGATCAATGCCACAACTTAATTTAAGCCGTTGTCAATCAGTTGTGCACAAGAAATTGGTGGATGGCATATGTTATGTTTTCATTGGCATGGCTTTGACACTCCTTGCGAAGCTGGCCACCAAAGCACTTCAGGCAGCTTCCATACGTAGCACTAGCCAAAATGTTCAAGCTGCTACCCGGACCCACTCTACACAAAGCTCAGACCTAGTTCCAAGACTCCCGGAAAACCCGCCAAAACGTTATGCTACAAGATGCATGACATACACAATCCACCTGAGGAGACTGAATGAACCGCACACAGTAAGACCTGCCACTGCCTTATCGAACACGATCACACATGACCAGGGGCCTTCCCTCCATGCACCCCGAGTTGGTAGGGAATCGCCCATCTGGCTCCCTCACGAAACTTTCGCTTCACACCAACAGGCGCCCAGTGAGCACATTAGCCCATAGC